TGGGGCCTGAGGCATTTCAGGCCATGGCTGTTGGCACAGTTGGCACCCATGCACCTGAGCCTCGATGGCTTTATCGAGCCCAGGCCACCAAAGATGGCTGCGCGCAAGTGCTTTCAGCCTTACTATACCAGGATGTCCCTCATGCAGAGAGAGCAAGATTCTAGACCTCAGTGAGGCTGAGATTACTACTCTGCTACCCCATAACAGGTAACCCTTGAAAGTGGAAAACTCATGCTTCTTTTGCCAGAAGCTTTGGAACTCAGTATCTGGGCACTTGTCAGGCCATCCTGACAACATTCAGGTCAGCATGCGTGTAAGCGTGTGATCAGTGGCAGTTTCTGCAGCCACGTCCCTAGCATTTAGGAGAGATTCAGGCAACTCCTGAATGGAAAGAATATTGATGGCAGGAGCAGGGTCTGCCTCTATCTGTTTCAGAGGTAATCTCCTTAGGCCATCTGCATGACCCATCTCTTTCCCAGGTTTGTGAATTAGAGTGTAGTCATATGCTGACAGGAAAATGGACCATCTCAGCATACGAGGAGAAATAATATGTGGTGTCTGTTTGTTAGTGGTAAACAAATCCAGCAGAGGCTTATGGTCTGTATAGACCATAAAGTGGTGACCATATAAGAAATCATGGAATTTCTTTATGCCAGCCACTATGGCCAAGGCTTCTCTGTCAATCTGAGCGTAATTTCACTCTGCAGATGACAGAGTCCTTGAGTAATAGGCCACAGGGACTTGTGTCCCATCAGCCTTCAGATGACTAAGTACTGCTCCCACCCCATAAGGAGATGCATTGCATGCGATGCAAACAGGCAATTGCTCATTGAAATGCGCTAAAACAGCATTTGAAGTGAGCAAGGCCTTAATCTCATTGAAACTCCTGTCATGGACTTTGGTCCACTGCCATGGAGCCTGCTTGTCTAAGAGCCTGTGTAACGGCTCTCCCACTGCAGCCTTATGTGGCAGAAATGCATGGTAAAAATTGAAGAGCCCCAAGAAGGCTTGCAACTCACTCCTGGACTTGGGGCTTGGGGCCTGCTGAATAGCTTGCAGTTTGGATTCAGCAGGGTGAATGCCTTGGGCATCAATCCTGAAACCTAAGAAGTCAGCGGAAGTGACTCCTATCTTGCATTTATTCTGCTTTAATTTAAGGCCTGCTTTTCGAAAATGAAGCAAGACAGCCCTTAGCCTTTCTGCTAAGTTTTGAGATGACTCCCCAGCAATGAGGACATCATCGAAGTAGGGACAGACCCCAGGAATATCTCAAAGTGTGCTCTCCATGACACTTTGGAATATGCTAGGGGCTACATTTATCCCAAATTGCAGTCTTTTGACCTTGAAGGCCCCCCTGTGAGTTACAATAGTCTGGGCCTCTGCAGATGCCTCATCATCAGGTAGCTGTTGATAGGCCTGTGCCAGGTCAAGTTTTGCAAAAATGCGCCCCCCCCCCCTTGAGGGAGGCCAGAATGTGGCTTACAACAGGCACTGGATAAGCGTGCTGTTGCAATGCTTTATTCAGTGTGCACTTATAGTCTGCACATATACGAATTTCCCCATTAGCCTTTAGAGGCGCTACTATGGGGGTTTCCCATGGACTAGAATCCACAGGTTCTAAAATGCCCTGCTGGAGCAATTTGTCCAGCTCAGCATCTATCTTACTTTTGAGGGCAAAAGGTACCCTTCTAGGCTTGACCCTGATAGACGTGATAGTTGGGTCTAACCGCAGCGCAATAAGAGGCCCCTTGTAGGTTCCTAGCTCTGAACTAAACACATCTGCAAACTCCTTGCAAACCTCTGCAAGGTTCAACGTTTGCAAGTTGTGCAGCCCAGTTACTTGGATTCCCAGAGCCTCGAACCAATCGAGTCCAATAAGACTCGTACATTCACCCCCAACTACCACCACATCCAGGAAACCTTCAAAATCCTTATGCTGTACCTTGAGTGTAGCCTCCCTCTTCTCACAGACCTTAGAATTTTGAAAATCAGTGAATATTAGGTTCGATGGCCTGAGTTTAACTCAAAGGCCACTACTGCTGCAAATCCTTTTGAAGGTGTTAATTGAAATAATTGAGAGAGCGGACCCTGTGTCCAACTCCATCAATAAGGGAACCCCTTGCAACCTCACATTAATGTGAAGTTTCTTCTTAAGGGGCTTGTGTGTCCCTGTCCATAGAATGCTCTTGCGCAATGCACAAAAGCCCACCCTGTGTTGGCTGGGGACCCTAGTACCTTTCTGAAGCAATTCTTCCCGAGGTTGGATCTTCTGGTGACCCAAACAGATGGAGGTGATGTGGCCTTGCCTGCCACACGCCCTGCAAATGGCGGAGCAGAACCTGCAGTCAGCTTGCTTGTGGCATCCTCCACACCCAAAACACTGAAGAGATGCTGGGGCCTTGTCCGGACGTCTCTTCGGCCTCCTCTCAGCTGGCTGGTGAAGTCTGTCCACCTCCTCTTCAGGATCCGCTTCTGATTCTTCTCAAGCGTCCTCTTGATGGACGGTAGCTGTGGCTGGAGGGTTCCTGGCGAGCCGCAAAGCTTTCACAGTCTTGCCTGCTGCTTCCTCAGCTGCCACCTCTCGTAACGCATCTTGGAAGGAGACATCTTCTTTTGCAAAAATCTTCTGTTGTAAGTCTCTGCTTCTTAAGCCACATACTCGCAGCCTCTCTTCCAGATCCTTGAACTCACAAGGCCTGGCCGCTTGCCTTAAGGCAGCAATAAAGTCCACAGCAGATTCACCCAGCCTCTGGTCTCTCTGCTCGAATGCGTGCCTCCAAGCAATGACGGATAACTTCGGCTGGAAGTGTTCCTTCAACTTCTTTTTCAAGTCAGCATATCTTACTGACTTCAGAAGTGCAGGGGCCACCAGATTTTCTGTGATGTCAAAAGTTTCTTGTCCACAGGCACACAAAAGAGTTGCTACCTTCAGGCCATCTTCTCTTATCTGATTTACTCTAAAGTAGTTCTCCACCCATGCTATGTAGGAATTCCATCTCTCTGGGTGGGAGACATCAAAATCAGTCAAGCGGCCAATCTTCGACATCGTAAAGTTTACGACCTTCACCAATCACCTCCTCTGCTCCTTGGTAAAGGGTCCTTTTGCCGAGCTCACCCCCAGCGACGCTGTACTGACAGGCTGAGATGCTGATGTAGACGCCGTCTTCCCCCTCGTCAGGACTTCCTAGGTGAGTCCTTAATTCTTTTTTTATTGGTTGCAGAGGATCCCACCCTCGTCGCCAGTGTTATGTTCTTGGTTTGTGTGCAATTGATGAACAACATGGTGACAAGTAACAAATGCTTTATTCTCTTTCTTCTACACCCAAGCGAAAAAGCAAAAGGCATGCAGGCCTTTTATAGGGCTAGAAGCCCAGACAGTGTTAACCAATAGGAATTTAGCATTTTCGTGCCTTGTGCATGCGCACAAGGCTGGCACCATTCTGTCTGGTCCAGGGCAGCTTTTGGACCAATTGCAACATTCTGAGCCTTCTTTCAGCTCTTGCAGGCTCAGGACACAACATATTCTACATAATTTAGTTAAATAATATGTCTACTGTGCATTGGCTAATTTTATTTAAAAAGAAACACTGAGACCAATAGTCAGATTACTAACAAACAGACCTGAAGATATATTTCTTAGTTTTATACACTTTTAAATCAGTGGGCACAATTCCATCAAAATTAAGCATATTTAGATCTTACTGATTACAGTGGAATTATTTGGAAACCTGTTTATTTTTGTTTTAAAAAGGAAGGAAGTAATTAGTAATAGTAATACTAGTAAAGTTGGAAGGGACCTTGGAGGTCATCTAGTCCAACCCCCTGCTCAGGCAGGAAACCCTGCACCATTTCGGACAAATGGCTATCCAGTCTCTTCTTAAAAACTTCCAGTGTTGGAGCATTTACTGCTTCTGGAGGCAGGCTGTTCCACTGATTAATTGTTCTCACTGTCAGGAAGTTTCTCCTTAGTTCGAGGTTGCTTCTCTCCTTGATTAGTTTCCACCCGTTGCTTCTTGTCCTGCCTTCAGGTGCTTTGGAAAATAGCTTAATTCCCTCTTCTTTATGGCAGCCCCTGAGATATTGGAATACTGCTATCATGTCCCCCCTTGTCCTTCTCTTCGTTAAACTAGACATACCCAATTCTAGCAACCGTTCCTTATATGTTTTAGCCTCCAGTCCCCTAATCATCTTTGTTGCTCTTCTCTGTACTCTTTCTAGAGTCTCAACATCTTTTTTACATCGTGGTGACCAAAACTGGATGCAGTATTCCAAGTGTGGCCTTACCAAGGCATTGAAGAGTGGTATTAATACTTCACGTGATCTTGATTCTATCCCTCTGTTAATGCAGCCTAGCACTGTGTTGGCCTTTTTGGCAGCTGCAGCACACTGCTGGCTCATATTTAAGTGATTGTCTACTAGGACTCCGAGGTCCCTCTCACAGTTACTACTATTGAGCATGGTGCCACCTATGCTGTACTTGTGCATTTGGTTTTTCTTGCCTAAATGTAGAACCTTGCTTTTTTCACCATTGAATTTCATTTTGTTAGTTAGTGCCCAGTGTTCAAGTCTGTCCAGATCCTTCTGTATCTGAAGCCTGTCTTCTGGAGTGTTGGCTATTCCTGCCAGCTTGGTGTCGTCTGCAAATTTGATGAGTTCCCCATCTATCCCTTCATCCAAATCGTTGATGAAGATGTTGAAGAGTACTGGGCCCAGAACAGAGCCCTGGGGCACCCCACTACACACTTCCCTCCATATAGATGCAGTTCCATTGAGGACCACTCGCTGAGTACGGCCGGTCAGCCAGCTACGGATCCATCTGGTGGTGGTTCTGTCTACCCCACATTTTTCTATCTTGTCAAGTAGTAGGTTGTGATCTACTTTATCAAATGCCTTACTGAAGTCCAAGTAAATTATGTCCACAGCATTCCTCTGTTCCACTAATTTTGTCACTTGATACCTACATCACTTGATACCTACATCACTTGATACCTACATCAAGACACAATGTATTTTTAATGCATTCCAGAATAGCATACCATATTTATGATTTAGTTTTTGATGCCCTCTCTCTGATATTATTGTTGAAAAGCAAAGAGCACATAAAAGTATGGAGGCTTAGAGAAAGCTCTATATTCTATGGTACTGGATGAACAATAGCTGAAAATTTCTCATGATCTCGAAGTTATACTTTAAATATTTGCCTGTATCACTTCCTTCAAAAACAGCAGTTCGCCAGTATTCTTCCACTGCAAGGAAATGTCTCCCCAATTAATATAATGACTAATAAATTAAGTGCCAATGAGATGGGTATAATGTCGCTTAAGTTGTTAACTTTCTTTGAATGTTCTCAGAAAACAGTATTTTTTTTAAATTTCTTGTTCTGGAAAATGTCATTACTTTAGTCATTATGTATGAAACTTGTCCATTGCTAGAATCCTTAGGGAAGTGAATGGTGGAGCCCAATGTTATTATTTTTGCAGAGTTTGACAGAAATACTAAGTCAGAGACTAATAGAAAATAATAAACAAGAATAATAAGAGCCCAGGAACAAAGTGAAGGGCAGGAAGAAGAAGAACCAAGGAAAAAGCTAAACCTACTTTCAGATAAGTACTGGTGGTTTGTTTAAAGATCTCTTTTAACATTCTAGGTTCATCTTTATGTTTATTTCTGGAAAGTAATTCATTTAGAACACTTGCAATGTTACACCACTGAGGGAGGGATGGGCCTGTTTTCATAAGAAAAGTAATGTTTTCTTGTTCCTTGCTATCCTCCTGTAATAGAAATTTTCTTAATAATTTTGATGTAACATCATCTGATCATATTGAGAGAAATTTTGCTCTCTTGGCCAAGGTGTAGAAGGCAGAAAGATTCTAATTGCTTTTGAAAGTGAGACAGGTAGAAGATAAATTTAATAAATGAATAAAATCAAACAGTTCAAAGCTAGTATGGACTCAAGATATAAAGAGCTTTATAAGTAATAACCACTATTTAAGTTCAACTCAGAAACCTCCTGGCAGTTAATGCATCTCCTGCAGTATTGGTGTTATTTTGCTATACAAGTTTTAATTAGTTTTGTACACCCTGCAAAATGGTCAACATGAGAGTTTCTGAAACTTTTCTGAACTTGTTATAGTCACTGTGAGTGCATGAAGCATGCCCGCATAAATACTAAAGCACAGTGCTGAAGAATATAATAAGACATGAGAGTCCCAAGTTATGTTCATGTGGTATCTCTCAGGTAGTTAACACACAAAACTAGTGCTCTTTGGACTATCAGAATAGAACTATCACAGCCGGGGAAAAATAAATTAGCCTTCAGAAACACAGATAACAACATTATATGAGCTTTATAAAGGAAAGTGAAACATTTTTCCTCTGGGTTGACCACAGATTATAGCAAGATGAGACTGTGACAACATTTATTTTCAATTAAACATTAAATCCCAACATTATAATAGTTACGGTTTTCACTGCTTATTGGGATAAGAGATTAAATATTCTTTCTCTAGCAATGAATCTTAAGAGGAAATAGCCTCTATACATTGTATTAAAAATTAAGGCATCCTAATTAGACGTTTCATTGTTATACTCATTATTTTAAGAGGAAAAGATGCATTTTATTGAAACCTTGCTAGAGATAGAAAAGTTACTTTTCCAACAGGCCCAGTTCTGATACTAATACACTTTTCTCCACCATTGATATGATATGTGATTAAACCAAGGTTATATTTTTAAATCCACTTTTAATTTCCTAGCCAAAATTATATTTTTGCTCCACAATATTCTCATGGCATTCTTTACCTCCTCATTTCTCAATGTGTAAATTAATGGATTGAGCATGGGAGTTATAATAGTATAGAAAACAGCCACACTTTTGTCCTCTGAGAATGTGGTTGAAGGCCTCATGTAAAGAAAGATGCAGGGGCCAAAGAACAGAATCACAACTGTGATGTGAGAGCCACAGGTAGAAAGAGCCTTGAGATGGCCTTCTGAAGAACGAGTTCTGATTGTGAGTAGGATAACAATGTAAGAAATAGTAAGCACAAGAAAACAACTGAGGGAAATCATGCCACTGTTGGCAATGACAATAAGTCCAATAATGTAGGTATCAGCACAGGCTAATTTCAATAAAGGGTGAACATCACAAAAATAGTGGTCGATTTCATTAGGCCCACAGAAGGGTAGATGTGTAGTAAGAAGCGTCTGTACCATTGAGTGAACAAACCCACCCAGCCATGACATAAACACCATCCAACTGCACACCCTCTTGTTCATAATAGTGGTATAATGGAGAGGCTTGGAGATTGCAATGTATCGGTCATATGCCATCAGTGTGAGGAGAAAAATTTCAGTACAACCGAAAAAGTGAGCCCCAAAAAGCTGTGCTATGCAACCAACAAAAGAGATGGTTTTCTTCTTCACCAGGAAGTCTGCTATCAGTTTTGGAGCAGTGACAGAGGAGTAACAGATATCTGTGAAGGAAAGGTAACTGAGAAAGAAATACATTGGAGAAATCAGGTGGTGACTGCTCTTGATTGTGACTATGATCAATAGATTCCCCAGCAGAATTGCCATGTAGAAGATCAAAAAGATTCCAAAGCAGACTTTCTGTAACTCTTGATCCTGAGTAAGTCCCAGCAAAATGAATTCAGATACATTGTTTTGTTTCTCCATATTCTCAAAGCTAGATAACGCATTATAGCATATGATTTAAAATTAGGAACACTGTCGATTAAAGGTTTACGGTTTGGGGGGTTTTTTACAAAAAATGTATACACACCAATGCAGATTGAAAAAATTCTTGAACTGGATGTTCTCAAATCCTGATTCCTTCACATGCAAGGAATGTTTACCCTAAAATTTAATGAAGATAAAAAAGTTGTCAGAAATTTAATATGTATTCAGGAAATCAGGGAAGTCACTTTGGGAAATACTGAAGCACAGCAATATCATAAGACATTGGAGAAATGTTTCTTGAAAAAAAGTTTGCAACCTATACAATATGACTTGTAAATTCAAATCAGAAATTTGTAAAGGCATATGCTTTTTTTCAATGTTTATTCAAACATCATGTTAACCAATCATGGTTTCATTCAGTCATACAAACAACCCTGTCAAAATCTTCACATTTCATAGATGCTCCAAAATCAGCTACTGATTTTATAGCCATTGGTGTTGTTTAGTTCTATTGAAATCAAATGTAAATCGTAGTCAATCGCCTGATTCAGTCATCTAGCCGTAAGAAAGAACCATGACAAGAATAATTTTTTCAGTCCTGTTGTCCCTTGTTATACACAGGTTTTTCAGCCTCTATTGCAGAGAATTGAGTTGTAATATACGGTATGCTAAATAGAAAGGTTCTTGAATATTGGAATGCCATCTCTTGCTGCCTTTTTTGTTCTTTCCAACTGGACTAAGTCTGAATAATTAAGACTGCAGTTTGGTGCCTACTGGCTTAAATGAAGCAGTAAGGCATACTGTGACTAGGATGTAAACATTTAGACAAGCATTAAATGCCATTAAAGTTATTTCTAGCTAGCAATCATCTGGCTTTCTACAAATACAATCCTATGCCTTCGTAAGGCAGTGGAAGTTTAAATGTTGGCATACATGCAGTTAGGCTCCAACTTAAATGAACTTGTTCTACTACTATAAAATCAAACTCCAATTATTGTCTAATCAGTTAAACAAACAAAGCTCAGATGGGAACACAAACAGCATTTGTGTTATAGATGCTATAAGAATATCGAAAACTATAAAAATCTTATATAAAACCAGTGTGTTTTCAAAGCATCGAAAAGTGGCTAACAGCATAATTTGAGTGGAGCATATTAAAAAAGATACCAATAATCTCCATTATTACCTGATTGGTTGAGGTATCTCTAGTCTACAGGATCTTCCAGCTCTACCAAAGATACCCTCACCCTTATTCTCTCTCTCTTGAGCAACCAGAAGAGTTTCCATGAAGCTCTTCAATAAATAGGGTTTTGAACACTTTGCAATTCTGCCTATCTACATCATTCCCAATTCTGTCAGCCACTGTATCCTTTCTTCAGCTGCCCGCTGTATAAGAAAACCCCAATTGAAACCAAAGGTATATCCTCTTTCTCTCTCTCCACCGTAAAGGTTATTTCTCTTGCCATTACATCAAGGTTATTTCTCTTGCCATTACATCATTGATCCAGTTAACAACCTCCCAGAAGTATTTCAGTCTTTCCCAATAGAAAATAAATGCTCAACTATGAACTTTTTAAACATACAACTCATTCAAACTTATTTTGCAGTAGTTAATTAGCATCCATTTGAAGTGAAGTCTTACAGCAGTCTTCTTCAACCTCCAGATATATATGTAAGACCATAATGTCCATCATTATCTGAAGAGTACCAAAATTGGGAAAGGCTTAATCTTTATTGAGAAATAATGACTTAGATATTAAATCATGCTGCTAACCTAAGAATTAAAAGCCAAGAACTATGTGGAGGAGATAATTATCCAATTTTATATAGGCAAAATTGTATCTGAACTATCATGGCCAACATTTGTGGCAGTACTTTTGTCCTCATAACAATATGTCTTTAAACATTGCTGCATGCTGTGGAATTGACCCCATAGAAAACTGGCTCTAATGCATCTTCTGACCAAAATGTAAAAACCTGGTCTATACAAGTGTTAATGGAAATGTGCAAAAATATATACCTGGGAAGAAACACAGAAAGTAGTTAAATGAGATGGAGCAAGAAATTTGGCGAGAGTAATCCCAGGAATCAGCTGTCACATTATCTAAAACTCTACTCCCACAATCTTAAATTCTGCAGAGTCACAAGGCAATCCAGTTTCAAGGATTCACCCATACCTGTAATCCAAATCCTTGCAAAAGAAAACAAATACAGGACCTTGGCACTTCCACCCTGCTGAGAGAGATCCAGAGAGGTCAAGGGCTGAATGTACTCACTATCATTCAAAGGTTGTCTACTATCATGGCCAAAGATAAGCAGATCATCACTCCTTGATGATACATACACTAGTAGGAGGGAGGCAATAATATGCCAGTGTCTTTTTACTTCTGGACTCTTAGTACTATATTTAATACAATGGTAGACACCACGAGTCTACCATTTCTGGGCTAAACTGAAAACAATAGTTTCTGATTCCTGATTTTTTTTTCTTTTGAACCAATAATCAGACTGACCCAGACTCATTGGAAACTTGGGAGTCAGTTGGGTTTTGTAGCTTTCTTCAGCAGAGATTTATTTTATAAAAGGAAAGCTTAGAATTCAATCTGCTTTATCTTTTTTCTTTTTTTTAAGCTTCTGCCTTCTATTTATGTTCTGACAAAACCTTGACTTTTTCTTTGCCTTTTCTGCTTGTTTGTTCCTGGCTGGGCTTCTTGAGTTTTCTCCTCTTCCCAATCTTTGCACCATCTGAGGGAAACAGCTCAAAGAAATTTTCGCTTTCCCTAGTCTAAGGGTAGGAAATAAACCCCTCTCTCCCCCCAGTTTTCTCAGCTGCTGCCTTTCACGTTGCCTCTTCTCTTCAGAACTGTCTTACTTTGCTTCTTTATTTCAACTCCTGGGGTTGGGCTCCATTTATTCAGCCTCTTCCTCACAAATTCTGTGGCAGCACAGCATCCAGGCAGCCATCTTGCCTCCTGCCTGCATCTCTTCAAGCTGCTTTTTGATTGGCAGTTGCAGATTGATTGGCAGTTGGATCATCCTGGTGATGAAAGCAGACCAAAAAGGGATGGGGAAGAAGGAGCAATGGTGCCTATAAGCTACTCAGGCAGTCTTTCCTTCCACATCATGATTACATGTTTGATTGAGCTCCCATTCCCAGGGCAGCTTTTATTATCTTAAAACAAGGGTCATCAAACTTGGCCCTTTTATGACTGGTGGACTTCAACTCGCAGAATTCCTCAGCCAGTGTGCCTGGCTGAGGAATTCTGGTAGTTGAAGTCCACAAGTCATAAAAGGGCCAAGTTTGAAAACTCCTGTCTTAAAATATCTTGAGGATAAATGCAAGATCTCTTAGCTACCACAGATGAGTTATTCATTAATACGGCCAATATTGTCATTCCAAAGCCTTGTCTAGCAACAATTCAAACATGTTTCCAAAGCATTTTGATAGCATGTCTGCTGTTAGTGTCTCTGGATTCTTGATAACCATGAATTAATTAATTCATTAAGTAGCCAACCTTCCTAAAGCATCCAAATCATCAATGATTCTGGATGGAATACAAAGTTCCAAACAACAGTGCAACATAAAAGCCAATAAATAAATGTCACAAAAAGGAGGGAAATATATGTTATACCTTGTGCTTACCCAATAGTGGGTACACATCCCATCTTAGCTCAAAGTTCTTGTGAAGGAAAGCAGTGTTGAGCAGCTCAGGCACAGATGTTGCTGCATAGCAGGGAGATCAGTAGAATAGCACAAAACCTCAAATTATTCTCAAAAGCCTAATATCAGTCCCAGGATCTCAGATAGGTTGTGAAATAATGTACACACAGCTTTTGTGCTGGACCAGCTTATCCTGGCCAAAGCATATATTAGCTTGAGATCTGTATGTTAGAATGTTTGACATTTAAAGGGTTAGACGCTGTTTCCTTAAGAGATAGCTTATGGGTAATGTAGTTTTATCTGTTCAGTGAATCCTATGTTTATCAAGTCAGTGGGAGGGACCACTAAGTTCATCTCAGGATATCCTGGCTATCTGCCAGCTTGTTAAAGAATTCCTTTGTGTGAAATCAGCAATGGGGTTGCATGCAGGGATATTGTCTACAACCATGCTAGAGCTAGTATGAAGAAATTACTGTTTTTACCTACATAAAATGAACAAATGTACAGCATCTGGAAGCATCTTCAGAATTGTAAGTTCTGCTAAAGATTCCCAGAATAAATATTTGTTTTAAAACCATTTTATCGTTGAGTTGACTGCCTGGACTTGAATTACAAAGCATCTTAGTTCAGGTTCTGGAACAGTAAAAACAAGTAACATTCTTCATATTTGTTCTAAAAATGCTATTGGATTTGTTTGCCAGTCAATGTTTTAAAGTAAAGAAAACATTGTTATACTTCATGCATCTACTGACAAAGTGAAGAATTAATGCTAGTAGGCTGCACCCTTGCTAGTAAAACAGTTTTTAATCTTCATCTCTGCTCCCTCTTCGCTAAAAGTAAAAAGTTAGTGAGACTTCTCTATGCCCTGCTTGGATGAAGGGGAACAGCTAAAAGGTTACCTATGTCTGTTTGCCAGCCAATGTTTTTAAGTGAAAGAAATGTTTATTCTCCATGCATCTTTATCTGGCTGCTTGCTAGCAACATTTACTTGGAAGTCAATATCTCCAACTGCCTGCTTATCGTAAAGAGACTTTAAGTTGAAGCAAGCCAAGGAAGGAAGGGGGAGGAGGCCAGAGGTGTTGTGTGTGTTGAAGAAGATTAGTATTAATGAGAGAATTGTTTCAAATGCCTGTGTCTGTGTCTCAACTGCAAATGTCTGTATTTCATGCCAATTCCATTTGTTTGAAAAGCAAGAGAAAGAGATATTATTTGTTTGTAAGATCCCTAAGCATTTATTTGGAAGAGGTTAACTGAAAGGAGAGAGACTTTGAAACTGAAATTCTCAAGCATAAAAATCTTCCACTGCATTTATTCTCTGCTTGTTCATCTGGCTAAAACAACTTGCCAGAGAATGCTGATTTCCTCTATGTAAAAAAAGCTGTTTAAAAAGTAAAGCATTCACCCTTTGCTGGCCCCAACTCAGACCATAAATCAATTTGTTGTATAGTAACCTAGCATCTGGTGAGAGGAAACTGACTCACTTTCCCCTCCCCTTGGAATTAGAGGAATTTGAATGGGGAAAATGGCATCTGGTTTCAGAAGCAGAACCAATCCCACTACTGCAAATAGCAAATGCAGTAGCATCCTCTGGTAGCCAATCTGCACACAACGCCTAAAGTCAAGTTGTCAGCAAAATAGCCTTCAGCCTTATAGCCCCGCTGGAGCTGATCTGCAAATAGCAGGCTTGCACCAAACCAAGCAAACAGCAGCCCCTAGTGGGCAAAGAGTGAACTTCACCAGAAGTACTCACTCACACAACCAGCACTCCTTATTGGACAAAGAGTGAACTTCACCTGAAGTAATCACTCCCGCAAGCAGTGACCCCTAGTGGTGTCTCTGCTGAGGGCAAATTAAGGAGAAAAAAGCAGCAAATTAACCTTGCTTATTATCACAAGTCTTCACTTGGAATCTAGAAAAGCCAGACAGTGCTTCAGTAAACTCCAGGTAGGCTAGCAACGTGGTTCTAAGAAGACAGAATTTAGCTGGCTTTTCTCCAAGTGCCCCCTCGTGGTTAAAGAAGGAACTTCATGGCAGCCTTTAATCATGCACAGAGAGAGCCCTCTAGTGGACAAAGGGTGAACTTCGCTGAAGTACCCACAAACACAATCGGCACCCCCTAATGGTGCCTCTGCAGACAGATAGAGCATCCTGGTGGCTGATCTGCAAATAGCACACTTGCCTTCAACCACGCAGCCTGTGTCACTTGATAGCAGGGGACAGAATCTCCCTAATGAGATTACTCAGATAGGGCACCCTGGTGGTGGAAGAGTGAACTTCACCTGAAGCAATCACTCAAGCAAGTAGTGACTCCTAGTGGTCAAAGGGTGAACTTCACTTAAGTACCCATGCATGCAAGAGAGCGCCCCCAGTGGTGCCTCCACCCACAGACATCACCCCGGTGACTGATGTGCAAGCAGAGACCCTTAGTGGTCAAAGGGTGAACTTCGCTGAAGTACCCACGGATACAAGAGAGTGTCCCCAGTCTACTATTTCTGGGCTAAACTGAAAACAATAGTTTCTGATTCCTGATTTTTTTTTCTTTTGAACTAATAACCAGACTGACCCAGTTTCATTGAAAACTTGGGAGTTGGTTGGGTTTTGTATCTTCCTTCAGTAAAGATTTGTTTTATAAAAGGAAGGGTTAGAATTAAATCTGCCTTATCTTTTTTCTTTTTCTTTTTAAGCCTCTGCCTTCTATTTATGCTCTGCCAAAGCCTTGACTTTTTGTTTGCTTTTCTGCTTGTTTGTTCCTGGTTGGGCTTTTCTCCTCTTCCCAATCTTTGCACCATTTAAGGGAAACAGCTCAAAGAACTTTTCCCTTTCCCTAGTCTAAGGGTAGGAAACAAACCCCTCTCTCTCCCCAGTTTTCCTCAGCTGCTGCCTACTTTCTGATTGCCTCTTCTTTTCAGAACTGTGCTTGGGCTCCATTTATTCAGCCTCCTCCTCACAAGTTCTGTGGCAGCACAGCATCCAGGCAGTCATCTTGCCTCCTGCCTTCATCTCTTCAAGCTGCTTTTTTTGATTGGCAATTGCAACCTGATTGGCAGTTGGATCATCCTGGTGATGAAAGCAAACCAAAAAGGGGTGGGAGCAATGGTGCCTATAAGCTACTCAGGCAGTCTATTCTTCCACATCATGATTACATGTTTGATTAAGCTCCCACCCCCAGGGTAGTTTTCATTATCTTAAAATATCTTGAGGGTAAATCAGTGGTGGGATTCAGCCAGTTCACATCACTTTGGTAGAACCAATAGCTAACTTTTTGTTGCCTAGGCCCAGAATGGAATTCCGAAAGCGGCATCCACACAGAGAAATGGTTGTTCACATATTGGAATCCCACCACTGTCCTCAAAGTTACAACTGCTTTTTCCCCCACATTTCAGGCACTTGGCAACTGGTTCATATTTACAATCAATTGCAGCATCCACAGTCATGTGGCCACCAAGTTGCTAGTTTGGTTGTTGATTTCTGACATATTATGCCAATTAAGTGAACAATTCACTTACAACCCTTGTTACTTACTTTACATAAAATCAAGTCAGGTCACATGGTGATCCACTTAACAACCACAATGACTTACAATCCAAATTACAAGCTAAATTGTAGTCAAGTGTATCCTGTCCCAAATCCAGCTGTATCTTATGCATAGTGAGTGACATGTTTCCTGGATATATTTGAGTCAGTCCTCTCAGAATACGTATGTTGCCCTTATCAGGAAATGGGAATATCCATGGGAGAGGTAAAGAAATTGTGTGCAATTTCCCCCACCCCAGCATTTTTTTTACACTAATGTAGGGGAATCCCTGCAAGATTTAGATTCATAGACCTGTTACTATTATGGTAGGGAGAAGTACAATAATTTGTTGTGGAGTAGGGATTCAAAACTGTGATTTCTTTAGTGTATTTATTAATATACTACAGGATATTTTTGCTGAGGTAATGGCAACTGTCTAGTCCTCTGCATTTTTATGCTTGAATGTGGTTCTTAGCAGCATTCCTCTTGGTTGTCTTCCTGTGAATTTCCTTATCAGTGTGTGATGGGCTTGTTGCTGGAACATTTTCTGACCTGGATTTGAGCTTCCAAAAGGTGATATCCCTGTTGTATGGCCAAAATGAATTTGCAGTTTCACATACCTGGTAGAATCTGTGCATATGTCTAAATATAGTTAATGGCGAGGAAATGTAAAAAACATAATAAAATCCCAATGGGAAATTTTGAATGCTTTGTCAAACCAAATTTGATTTATTTACTACCAAGTGATGTTCAATCCAAGTGATGTTATGTTGCTCTATAATCAAATCACCAAATGATTTACAACAAAGTATAACAAAGTAAAATGCAAATTGCCATTGGAATAACTATATTAAAAGCAGCATAATATATTGACAGAAGTAAAATAAAATATTCACAAAAAGATAGACATCCAGTTTTAACTATTTCTACAAACGCTCTATTTACATATTTGTTCTTTCAATAGAAAACATTTTTCTGCTCCATAATTTTTTAATAGCATTCTTCACCTCTGAATTTCTTAATGTGTAGATTAATGGGTTCAGCATCGGAGTGATGACCGTATAAAACAAAGCTACTGTCTTATCTTCTGAGAAGTTGCTGGAAGGGCGTATATAGGTAAAGGTACATGGTCCAAAAAATAAAATCACTACTGTGACATGGGAAGCACAAGTAGATAGAGCCTTACGAAGTCCTTCAGAAGAATGAGATCTCAAGGAGACCAAGATTACAATATAGGACACCACTAAGATGAGGAAGCAGCTTAAAGCAATCATCCCACTGTTCGCAACCACTATGACGCCAACTATATAGGTATCTGTACAGGCCAGTTTCAGTAGAGGGTGGACATCACAAAAATAATGGTCAATTTCATTAGGTCCACAAAAAGGAAGTTGGGTGGTCAGAAGAGTCTGCACCATGGAGTGCAAAAAACCCCCAACCCAAGAAGCTGCTACCATCCGCCCACAGACTTGCCTGGTTATAATAGTAGTGTAGTGTAGTGGTTTGCAAATTGCAATGTACCGGTCATAGGCCATCACTGTAAGAATGAAGATCTCTGTGCAGCCGAAGAAATGGACTCCAAAGAGCTGAGCTATGCAGCCAATAAAAGAGATGGTTTTTCTTTCCAGAAGAAAATCTGCAATCAGTTTGGGAGCTGTGACGGAGGAATAACAGATATCTACAAAGGATAAGTAACCGAGAAAGTAATACATGGGAGACATCAAGTGGGTGCTGAAGATTATAGTGACTACTATAAGAAGGTTGCCCAGCACAATGATTAAATAGAAGAACAGAAACAAGACAAAGCATATTTTCTGGGTTTCTTCATCTTGCGTGAGGCCAAAGAGAATAAATTCAGTCACATTGTTTGTGTGGAGTGTCATGGATGGGAAGTCCATACCTAGATGACCTGCAACACAGCATAAATAACTATCGACTGACATATTTTATTAATATAGATTTTTGATTATTTATGTCTGATCTTACATGCCTAAAAGAATTGTGATAAATGTCTGAAGATATAGAGTACATAGTAATCATTTCAGATGACAGACTTGGGATTATAGACTTGAATTCTTGATTGAGAATATATGCATAAATCAATAAATGGTCTCATAACATTTTTAAAAACTTACAGTGCATCAGGGAAAGTACTTCATGCTGTTTTATTTTCCAGTTGCTATTACCTTTTTTTCTCAAAAAACAAACATGGGAATATTAAAATAGAAATTGATCAGTAGAAATTCCAGGGTTTCTTTGTAACTGCTTCAGGATTCTATTATAAGACTATGTTTTGCTTCTATATCATGCCCCTTTCTAAAGTACTTTAAGAATAACATCAATATACTCTATGAAAAGTCACCTATCATTTATTAATTTTGTAAGATAGCCATGCACATCTATGTACACATCCTTTTATACATCTATCCCCATCATGCTATTCCCATTCAGGGTAAGTAGTATTATGGAAAGCAGAGAAAGGGAGTCAGAAATAATAACCCAAAGAAAGTGAAGGCATGAGGAGAGGGGAAGGAAACGATTAGTTTATAGCAACAACATACACTGTGCTTCTCCATAACTTTTCCATCCTTGCCAAACATTCTCTGCTTCTATCACATCTATATTTCACTTCACACATGGTCTTTTTTGTTCTTTTCACCTCTTTCTGAGTATCAGCTTCATCCAACTATAATTTTCTCATCTTTCCTTTCTCTTGACCTGGGCATTGCTCCTTCATATGTTTGTGATGTGATTCAGTCTCTTAAATTATCTCTATATGACAAAACCTCCTCAACTTACTTCTTTCATGCTAGTCATTCATGTTTCTATTCCATCCATATTCATTCAACACTCATCTATTATTGAGCCTATCTTCTTCTTTTGTTCCAAATACACTCGTGGTATTAAGGGCTCTGCTCCTACTGTATTCAACTTGCTCTCAGGTCTTTCTCGACACACCCAACTCACATTTCTGGGAAGAAACATACGCTTACACACAAGCATTATTGCTTCTGTCAACAAACATTCCTTTCTTGCAACAAACCACCATACCTCCCACCATGTTTATACTAATATTTGCAACTCATAAAATTTTCCATTTGTTTTCTCCTCTTTAGTTAACCATTCTACCAAAGGACACAAATTCACCAGCTTGCTTTATTTTAATTCCATTTATGTATAACATTTTGCAAGCATTCACCCAGGTTTCCTGTCAATTACAAATTAAATATCTTCATCTTTGAGATACCGCTTTATAAGATCCCTACTTCTCATTTCATCAAACAATTTATCTTACTTTTGGTAAGAGAATTCAAGTTCACAGAAACAATATGGTATTGTCTCCACACAAAACTGCATCCTCATTCATCCTCCTCCTTATTCACATCCTCAGTCAAATGCCAATAACATTACCACAAGCATTCCTTATAAATGCATTCATAAACACACAAAAAACTAAGGGACATTATAACTCCTTATCTTGCTCAGTGTTGAGCTATTTGTTATATACTTGCTTTATTCCCATACATGCTTTATTTCCCTCATATACTGCTCTTATCACATTCAGAACCATCCTTCAGCTCCATATTAATACCAAACATTCCCTAATTCAGAACTATCCACTTTATTGAATGCTTTGATTCTCTAAATCAACTAATGTACAATAAACTTTCATTTTCACACTTGTGCATTGCTCAGTGAATGTTTCTTACTTGATTTTCAGGTGTGGGAGGAGATGGATAAGATTTTTTTTCCTCTAAGAAAAAGGTGTATTCAAAATTCTGTCCCTGCTCTTGATATTGACATTTTTATATGATTATCTTGCTAAATATGTGTGGCTTCTGAATGCTGAAATGTTGCCTATCACTTCAGTAAGCAGACGTATTTTTCAGAGGAAGTATACAAAGAATTCTTATAGTCTAAGAAATGCTGAAATAAATTTCCAATACATATGTAGATTACACTGAACAAACAAGGGGTTAGGAGAGACATGTTATAGAGCTTCATCATTAAAATTAACTAAGTCTGAAAAGTTCATAATAAATGGGCTTCTTATTTTATTATTGCAATGATCTGTAAAGCAAATCAACATTTTATGTAGTCTGGTTAAACAATATGTCTACTATGAATTGGCTAATTTTATTTAAAAAGAAAACACTGAGACCAATAGTCAGATTACTAACAAACAGACATGAACTTATATTTCTTTGTTTCATACACTTTTAAATCAGTGGGCACAATTCCATCAAAGTTAAGCATATTTAGATTTTATGGATTACAGTGGAATTATTTGGAAACCTGTTTATTTTTGTTTTAAAAGGGAAGGAAGTAATTGATATGTACTTCAAAACACAATATATTTTTTAAAAAAGGAAATGCATTCTAGAATAGCATACCGTATTTATGATTTAGTTTTTGATGCCCTCTTCTGATGTTATCGTTGAAAAGCAAAGAGCACATAAACATTATGGGGGCTTAGAGACAGCCCTATATTTTATGCTAAGTTATACCTTAAATATTTGCCTGTATCACCTCCTTCAAAAACAGTAGTTAGCCAGTGTTCTGCTGCTGCAAGGAAATGTCTGTCCTATTAATATAATGACTAGTAAGTTAAATGCCAGTGGGATGCATACAGTGTCCCTTAAGTTGTTAAAACTTTCTTTGAGTGTTCTCAGAAAACAAAGTATTTTAAAATGTCTGGTTTTGGAAAATGTTACTAGCTTTAATCATTACTATATGAAACTTGCCCATTGATAGAATCCTTAGGGAGGTGAGTCATAGAGGTGGAATATCCCACTATTATTCTTTTTGCAGAGTTTGAAAAGAAATACTGATTCAGGGACTAATATAAAATCATAAACCAGGATAATAAGAGCCCAGGAACAAAGTGAAGGGCAGGAAGGGCAGGAACCAATGAAGGAGTTAAATGGTATATTAGTTTCAAAAAGTACTAGTAGCATCCTAGATTCATTGTTATGTTTATTTCTGGAAAGCGATTCATTTAGGATGCTTCTACTGAGGGAGGGAGGGAGGCTGTTTTTACAAGAAAAATAATCAGGAAAAGCAACAGTTACCTTGTTCCCTGCTCCTCCCTTCCTGCAATAGAAATCTTCTTAATAATTTTGATGCAATGTCATCTGATCATATTGAGAGGAATTCTGCCCTCTTGGTATAGAAGGCAGATTCTAGTCACTCGCGAAGTGAGATAGGTGACTTATAAATTTAAATAACTAAATAAATAAGATCAAACAGTTCAAAGCTAATATGGACCCAAGATATAAAAAGCTTTACAAGTAATAACCACTGCTTTAAATTGGACTCAGAAATCCACTGGCAATTAATGCACTTCCAGTCAGTATTGGTGTTGTTTTGAATAATTAGAAAACAAGCATTTGCATTTTGTATACCCTGCAAAATAACACTGATACTGCATGGTCAACATGAAAGCTCCTGAAAATCTTCTGACCTTGTGATAGTCAATGTAAACACATGAAGCATTCCATCATAAATACCAAAGCACAATGCTGAAGAATACCATAAGACACAAGAGTTCCACCAAGCCTAAATATTTGTGTAATCATGATGATGGTACTGTAGTATATTTAAGCAGAAGGTGGAAAGACAGAGGCCTTTGCTTAATCTCAAAAGAGGAAGGGATGAATAACCAAATTGTTAATGAAAACATTAGAGAATCTGTCTTGTGCCAATCAAGAGGCAGTAATGCACTATTCTTTAATCCTAGAGATTACTATAGGTCAGTGATGGCGAACCTTTTAGAGACCAAGTGCCCAAACTGCAACCCAAAACCCACTTATGCATTGTCGGGTGCTTGGTGGGTGTGCCCTATTAGCTGGGTGTGGCCCATTGGCTTGGTGTGGCCCATTGGGTGGGCGTGGCTATGGTGGTAATGGCAAACCGGGTGAGACTAAAAAGTTCAATCAATCAATTCCAACTTTGCAAGATCTTTTTTTTCTGCGAGAAGTTGAAATTGACTGATGGATTGAACCTTTTTTTTTTTTTGTACATGGCATAGTGGAGGCCTAAAGCAAAAAGGTTTTATAAAACCCAGCTGAAGGCCTAGGACTGGGGTGATGGCGCACATGCCTACAGAGAGGGCTCTGAGTGCCGCCTCTGGCACCCATGCCATAGGTTCGCCACTACTGCTATAGGTAGTCCGTGACTTGCAACAGTCCATTTAGCAACTGTTCAAAGTTACAATTGCCCTGAAAAAAGTTACTTATGACCATTTTTCACACTTGCAACTATTGCAACATTCTCATGGTCATGTGATCAAAATTCAGATGCTTTGCAACTGACTGATATTTTGGTAAGCCCAAAAGGATTATAAAGTCAAGTCAATGACAAAGCACCATGCTGTATGTTATGTCCCGAGCCTTGCAAACGACTCGGGGCGTTTGCAGGCGGTCCCGGGCAGGTGCAAAGCTGCCCGGGACCAGACAGGCTGTCGCCAGCGCCGTGCGCATGCGTGGGTGCTGGCGCGGGAAAAGTATCGCATTGACCCAGGAAATGCCTATATAAGAAGCTGGGAGGTTTTGGGAGCTGCTGAAGCCATCTACTTGTGAGCTGAACACAGAATAAAGAAAACTGAGAACTACAACTGCTTCTCGTGTCTGCTTTTCGCCAAGGACTCAACACTGGCGACGAAGGTGGGATGCCTTACATCACCTGGAAAGGAAGAAGTGTAAGCTTACCCAAGTGAGTCCTGAGCGGCGGAACGGCGTTGACTCGGCAGCTACTCGCCAATCCAGTGCGCATTCGGGGGTAGGCTGGCTGATAGACCCGTCTCCTGAAGATGGCAAAGGTTGGAAGGCTTTCGGAGTTCGACGTCTCACATCCAGAGCGGTGGGAGTCCTACGTAGCCAGGGTGGAGAACTACTTCAAGGCAAACCAAGTGAGGGAAGAGAGCTTGAAGGCTGCCACCCTGCTTTGTGTCTGCGGTCAAGACGCCTTTGAAATCGCAGAAAACCTTGCAGCACCTGTTCCAGTAGAGTCTGTTAGCTACGCAGATCTAAAGAAGCTACTGAAGGAGCACTTCCAGCCTAAGATGTCCGTCATCGCATGGCGCCACACCTTCGAGCAGAGGGATCAACGATCCGGAGAGTCGGCCAAAGAATACATCGCCGCATTGAGGAAGGCCGCCAAGCACTGCGAGTTCAAGGACCTCGAAGAACGACTGAGGGACCGATTCGTGTGCGGCTTAAGGCATCGAGATCTACAACAGAGGCTTTTCGCCAAAGAAGAACTGTCCTTCCAAGATGCCTTAAGAGAGGTCACCGCAGAAGAAGCAGCAGGCGGCGCCGTCAAAAACATGCGGCTGATCAGGAACAATCCAGAAGTTGCATCCGTGCACCAGGAAGACGTCCAAGGAAACTCCGAGGAGGATCCGGACGAGGAAGTTGACCGTCTCCACCCCATGAAGGAAGGAAATCAGAAGGGAAGCTCTTCAGCTCCACTCAAGTGCATCGGTTGTGGAGGTCGCCATAGGAGAACCGACTGCAAGTTCCACTCTGCTACCTACCGGGCATGCGGCAAACAAGGACACATTGCAGCTGTGTGTCTGGGCCGACGAAAGGTACAACCTCAGGAAGAACTGCGCCTGAAAGGTACCAGGGTCCCCAGCCAAAATAGGGTAGGGTTTTGCGCTTCGCGAAGAAGCATCCTCAGGACAGGCACACACAAGCCCATTAAGAAAAAGCTGTCACTCAAGGTGAAGCTACAAGGGGTTCCATTAACTATGGAACTAGACACAGGGTCTGCCCTTTCAATCATCTCCTTGCGTACATTTAGGAAGATTTGTTCCGGTAGTGGAACTCAGGCCAAGTTAAGGCCTTCTGACATTGTGTTAACAGATTTTCAAAATTCAAGAGTGTGTGTTAAGGGGGAGGCCACCCTTAACGTGCAATACAAGAGTTTTGAAGGTCCACTAGACTTATTAGTAGTAGGGGGTGAACGAACGAGTCTCATAGGACTCGATTGGTTTGAGGCCCTGGGGATACACGTCAAAGGACTCAACAGCTTACAAACACTCGACCTACAGGAAGTCTGCAAAGAATTTGCAGATGTTTTCAGCCCCCAGCTGGGCACATTCAAAGGACCCCCTGTGTCCTTAAAGCTAGACCCCACTGTCACTCCCATTAGAATTAAAGCAAGAAGGGTCCCTTTTGCTTTAAAGAGTAAAATTGACACTGAGTTAGACAAACTGATCCAACAGGGAATTCTAGAACCTGTTGATTCCAGTCCTTGGGAGACCCCCATTGTCACGCCTCTAAAGGCAAATGGGGACATTCGCATTTGTGCTGATTACAAATGCACTCTAATAAGGCATTGCAGCAACATGCCTATCCTGTTCCTGTGGTCAGTCATATCCTGGCCTCCCTCAAGGGGGGGCGTGTTTTTGCAAAGCTTGACCTAGCTCAAGCATATCAACAGCTGCCTGTTGATGATGATGCTGCTATAGCTCAGACTATTGTGACCCACAGGGGGCCTTTAAGGTAAAAAGGCTACAGTTTGGAGTGAATGTCGCTCCTGGGATTTTCCAAAGCGTAATGGAAAACACACTACGGGGCATACCGGGGGTTTGCCCCTACTTTGATGATGTCTTAATTGCAGGAGACTCCACACACATTCTAGCTGAAAGGCTAAGGGCTGTTCTGTTAAGATTCAAGAAAACAGGCCTCAAGCTCAAAAAAGACAAATGCAAGATTGGGGTGCCTTCTACTGAATTTCTGGGGTTCAAAATTGATGCTGCTGGGATTCACCCTGCTGAATCCAAACTAACTGCTATTTTAGAAGCACCTAGGCCAAAGTCTAAGGCCGAACTTCAGGCCTTCCTGGGCCTCCTGAATTTCTACAATTCCTTCCTTCCACATAAAGCCAGTGTGGCTGAGCCTCTTCACAGGCTACTAGACAAGCAAGCAGTGTGGCAGTGTTCACAAACGCATGAGGCTTGTTTTAACAAAGTCAAGGCCTTACTCACTTCTAACAGTGTACTTGCACATTTCAACGAGTCCCTTCCTGTGTGCATCGCTTGTGATGCGTCCCCTTACGGGGTAGGAGCTGTCCTGAGCCACCTCAGGTCTGATGGAACTCAGGTTCCTGTTGCATATTACTCCAGAACATTGTCTTCTGCTGAGCGCAACTACGCTCAGATAGACAGGGAGGCTCTGGCTGTTGTTGCTGGAATTAAAAAATTCCATGATTTTCTATATGGCAGGCATTTCACGGTCTTCACTGACCATAAGCCTCTGCTGGGACTGTTTACCACACGTAAGCAGACTCCCCAAATCATTTCCCCTAGAATGCTTAGGTGGTCTATTTTTTTGTCTGCATATGATTTTTCTTTACTCCACAAGCCTGGGAAAGAAATGGGCCATGCTGATGGCCTCAGTAGATTGCCTCTGCCAGTAGTAGAAGCTGACCCTGCGCCAGCTGTCAACATTCTATCAATCCAAGCCTTGCCCGAGCTCCCTCTTAGTGCCAGGGATGTTGCCGCTGAAACAGGTACAGATCACACACTTTCACGTGTCCGTTCCTGGGTTTTGTCTGGTT